GCTTTTTTACTTGTTTCTTCTTCTGCTGCTGCTGCAATCCATCAATAACAGGAAGGATCAGATTGAGGAACCACTTTCCTGAGTTAGCAGCTGGAACCATACAAAACACGTGATCAGAGCTATACCAAATCTATAGAGCTAGAACTGCCAAACTGTAACTAGGGGCAATAAGTATATTCACCAATCCTAATTCACGTTGAAAAGTAAAATTTTAAATTGGAGTTATGCTTACTAAAATGTATTAATATATCAAGGTTTAATAGGTATTTTTGGCAAATAAGTAAACATGAATTCTGGGTGGTCAGAGTGATACTTAAAATAAAAGTGCAGAGTGATGCTTAAAATAAAGTGCATGCACAGACCTTAAACTGAATAAGCAGGCATAGTGTGTTGTCTCAGTATCATGTTTGCAGGATATTCAAATTTTTAAACTGCAGGCTGGAATTATGATACAGGAAGTCCAAGGAATGTGGTGAAACTACCTCTACTGTGAAGACTGAAATATTCTATGAAACCTCAAATGTGGAGGAGGCCAAAACTAGTGTCTATGGCAGTGCTTCCCAACCTTTTTTTTGCCCCGCACCCCTAAAGAAATTTCACTTGAACCTCGCACCCCTTGAAATTTAGACTTTAGGAACTACTGAACGCGTTAAATATATGGTAGGATTGAATCTTTTCAGCTATGTATGTGACGGCCACTAAATAACGATACTTAACTCTAAAATGAAAACAAAGTTAATCCATTGCATAATAAATAAATAAAATAAAAATAAATAAAAATTACCTGGACTTTTCTCGCACCCCCTGGAATATCGTCTCGCACCCCCAGGGGGTGCAAGCACCCCAGGTTGGGAACCCCTGGTCTATGGAGATTCTCAATCATCCAGGTTGTCCCCAAAGTGCTTTTTTTCCAGAAGGCAACTGGACTTCCTTATTTTTCTTTGAAGATGTTTTGCTACTCATCCAAGAAGCTTCAGAGCTGAAGAAACTTCTTGGATGAGAAGCAAAATGTCTTCAAAGAAAAACAAGAAAGTCCAGTCGCCTCCAAAACCAGTGGTCTTGTAGGTTTTAATGGACTTCAGTTTCCATCTGCATGGCCAGTATGACCTCTCACGGCATTAGTCATTATGAACTTGAATCACAGACTCTTGTCGCAGGTCCGAAACAGACACTTGCTATCTTAGGAAGCTTCTAGCGATCCTATCAAGATAGAGAAGAATGGTCTCATGTAATAAGGACATATAAAACCAGTGATTCACCCTAGAGAGGTCATGACTTTTACAGCAGGAAAAATCAGTAATTATTGATTATACGTGCAGATAAAGAAACTTCCCCTAGGCACTGGGGCAGAAGCTCTGGTGTGGGCATATCCCACAGATTGAGAATGACTAGACTTAGACTAACTTTATTGTCACTTTGAATGTACACCAAACGGCGTACATTAAAATGAAATTTTGTTGCATACAGCTCTCAAAGGCTTTCCACCTCTAATATACATGACAAAATAAATAAATAAATTCAAAATTATGCATATGCCCACATATATTATACGACATGGAGAAACAACACAGTCTAGTTTGGATGTAAATATGTACATGGCGAGAGAAACAAATCTTGCGAGTTTACCAGACGGATGGCATTGGGAAAAAATGAGATAGTGTCAGGGACACCTCTGTTCATGGCCTAGAGTTCCTTTGATAGATGGGTGCTAATAATTACTCCTGCCAGTTACTAAACCCAATTACAAGAGTGGATTATATTCACGAGAGTGTCCTAAAAGGCAGCTATTTTTCTGTTGTGAAACACAGAACTTTTCTGACATACACCTGAACATATCATAAGCAAAAACTCTGTGAAGCAGGTAATGCATAAATTATAAGAGAGAATTGCTTTCACTCATAATCCACCCAGTTGTTGTCTAATACTGTATATTAAGAGCAACTTTTCCCCCTCTATCTTGCTTTTGACCAAGAGATGTTTGAGCGAACCGATTCTTCTGCGTTCGTTTTTATCACTATGGTAGTACCCAACCAATTTATCTAAAACTGCTGCTTTGACCAAGGTTAGTTTTCTAGGAGCATCTGAAGCCAGATCATCCAAAAAGGGCCTTTGGGTTTCTTCCTTTTAAATCAGACTAAAGACAGCGATTGCTCAAGCAATAATACCAGGGTTTTTAATGCTCGACCGGAAGAGAAGCCTTGTCAGATTATCAGATCGGGTTCAACAAGGCCGTTCTTTATACTCTCACCCGGGAATAACCCTTTATTAAATGGAAAAGCCTGCCTGCTTCCCCCACCTCCCCAAGGATGGAGAAATTCATTTGCTATTTTTAAAAGTATGTTTTTTTTTCACTCCAGGGCAATGCAAATAAGCCCATTGTAATTGACTAGCCCTATCATTATCTCCTCCCCTTTTTTTGTATTAGAAGTGTTAATAAGTCACCTCGTTTCTAACCTGTGTATATGTGTGTATATATGTGTGCGTGTGTGTATACACACATATACACATACATACACACACACACACACACATATATCAGACAACTGTAAAAGTCTGACTCACAGATGAACACAATACAGAAGCCTGATGATGGCAGATGAGATTCTGCCGAAACGTTGCTACAACTTTAAAAGCACAACTACAATGACGTGGGAAAATACCCAAACGAAGCTGAATACCATACATGTAAGTACCCGCGAAAACTTAAGAAAACATACACACACACACACACAGTTATATGTTATGTGTGTTATATATGCATGTGTGTTATATGTATAGGCCTGTCTGTCTAATCTATCTATCTATCTATCTATCTATCTATCTATCTATCTATCTATCTATCTATCTATCTATCTATCTATCATCTGTCTATCTATCTATCTATCTATCTATCTATCTATCTATCTATCTATCATCTGTCTGTCTATCTATCTATCCACACACGAAAAACAAAATCCTCTGGGTTCCGCCTGCCCATTAAGCCAGCGCCTCGGACGATCCCAGCAATGTTTTTCACGCCGGGTTAATGCAATTTACACGACACGTGCCCGAAAGGCTCCGGCAAACAACATTCCAAAAGCGCCACCCAAATACTCACATTTCGCCGACCTTCCTGTCGAGCTGGGTGTTCGGCTGAGGCCAGGCGGGCCCTGTGATTGGCCGGAGGGATCACCTCAGTTCTCCTCCTCCTGGCGCTGAGTCACAATGCAACGGCCAAGCGCAGAGCAACTTCAAAAGCAAAGGGCCCTGCCGAGGGGGGGATCCCGACGGCCGGACGGGACCCGCCGAATTAAAATCAGGTGGGCTCCTCTCTCTCCTTTCGCCTTACCATTCCTCTTTAGAGCCCTTCGCCTTTGCAGGGGAAATTAGGTGGGTGCGGGTTAGGGAAACTGCCATAAACTCGGACCTAGGTGGGTGCAGTTTAAATATACGGACAGGGTTTGTGCCTCGCCATTGACTAGCCCTGTCCGCTTCCAGTATTCAGAAGGGTTATGCAAAGAAAGAGATGTAAAAAGGGTATTCAGCTTTTTTTAAAAAAGGATCTGGGATGTTGTCCCAGGAAGCCCTGTTTTGGGGAAATGTATTTCCTCCAGCAGCATTTAAAACTAACAATCTCTTTTTTTGCTGCTGCTAAGTATGGAGAAAAGAAAAAGGACCAAATAAGGTTATATTTTCATTCTAATTGAACGAAATTGTGAAATATTACAGGGGCATGTCTGTACGTATATAAAATCTCAGCCTGCTATTCACGATTACCACCCTGTAGATTGGAAATATTGAGTATTATTTTCTTCCCAGGCAACAAGTTGCCTGGCATCTTGGAAAACTGAAGCATTTTTATCCTGATAAGACTTGGCAATTGATACATTGTACAGTATGTATGAACAATACAAAAGTGCCTAATTTTCTGTGTGTGTTTGTGTGTGTGTGTGTAAACAGGTATTTCTACTCCAAAGAATTTGAATGCGCAGGACTGATTTTGTGACTATTTGAAACGGACCACATTGTTCAAATCATTCACAATGGTGTATCCAGCCACTTTGTGTAACTTAATTCATTCAGTTCAACCAGTGGCAAAAAATTTTATTAATGGGGACATTCTTTTTCTTTTTCATCATTTGAATGCATATTTAATCAAGTTATCTTGAAGATTTCCAGCCAGATATAGAAAAATCAATTTATGTATTCCAGAAAATAGGACCACAGGGGCCCCGAAGCAAAGGAAAGGTTAGATCAGATTAATATTTGAATGGGAGGCTGTCATTAGCCTGGGGGCTTAATTGGGAAGGTGAAAAAGTGCCAGCACGCTGTGATAAACAACTTCCATATAGCTGCAAACCATAATGATTTGGATGTATTCTTGACATTGATTTTATTAGCAGTTTATCCCTCCTCTATTTTTGGTCAGTTCCAAGCATACCTAATGCTCCCACCGCTTATTTTCCCCATAAGAAGAATTCTGGAAGGTGGGCTAGACTGAGAGTGAGTGGGCCAAAGACATCCTGCCACCATTCATCGCTAAGGGAAGACTAGCACTCAAACTCTCCTGGTTTCTATCCCAGGACTACTGATTCTCAAGTTGCTTAGAATTAAACTTTACCATATGAATGAATCCCCATCTTATTAATTTACCTCTCTGATTTGGGCCCCTCTTAATTTTGAATGAGATGGCCATTTTCCAGGTTATACAGAACTCAGACATGGATTTGCACCCCCTTGTCTCAGCAGCCAATGATGCCTGTACATTCCCTAGATCTATCTTTAAGTGATTCCCCGGCTCTGACCTACATGTGTAGAGCAGAGCAATCAGAAAGGCGGAGTAGCTAAAGGAGAGCCCCACCATTAATCCTGTACCTCCCTTTGTAATCTCAGCTCGAGTCATTCCCCTTAATTCCCCCCCTTTGGCCTCCTGTCTGTTTTTGCTAGCTCCCTCCTCCAGGGCGGGTCCCAAGCAGTGATGTGGGATGAATTGACATCCCTGCAGTAGCCTCTGTAGACACAGAAGCAAGCGCAGCGCTGGCCCTCAAGCTACTGTGCGTCCTTTGCTATAGCCCGCTCTGCAGTCATTCATTGCTCTGGAGTAAGGTAGCTGCGGGAGAGACAGCTGCTTTTTGCTTCCCTAGGAGAAATTGCTGATGTGTTCTCCCGTGGAGAAGAGAAATCACGCAAGGTACGAAATAGCTGGAAGACCAATTGGGCAGCAGGTCATAGTGGAGGTGGAATGTCAAAGAAGTCAGAGATTGCTTGAATTTTTCCTTCTCGACTTAAGATGCTTACGGTGTTTCTCTTAAGGCAAGGGTATAGCTTTGCTTTGGGGTCTTAGTTATGCCTTTTTTGTTTTTAACCTGGATAAGCGTTTCAGATATTTTCTAGAAAAATACTGAACCTTTCTGTTCCTTGCTGCCACCATACGGATGGATCTAAAGATAAGCTGTGTTTTAATGATAGCTGGTGACACACTTAACACGACTGAGGGTGGAGAATCATGTCTTTTTCCGAAATTCTCTAGTTGATTTAAAGAAACATTGTGGGTAATATAGGCAGCAAAGATTGTGATAGCTGAGCCTAGGTGGTAACAAAAGGGAAAGGTTTGTGGGCCTGTGGTAGAGTTACATGTACTCATTTTTTTGTCTGTAAGAGCTGTTTTGAGATAAGAAAGCACTTTATTGATTTCTCAAGGTGACAAGAAATGATAGCTGTTTTATATGCTTTAGTTGTTTTGGAGAGAGTTGCACTTTTCTTGGATCTTCTGCATCTGTGCAAGTAGTATTTTCTGTTTGATTGCACAGTTGCCTAATGTGCAATGAGAAATAGTCCTTGTTAGATATATGGAGATTGTGTCAAAAGCTCAAATTGTGTTAGTGAGTTCTGTATCTCCAGGTGACATATTTACATCAATTAATATTTTAAATAATGTTTCTATTGCCTAATATTCTCCTGTGGGGAGAACCAGGCTTTATTGGCATGGAAGAGAAAGCACAATTAAAACCAATTTAGCCTCTACCTAAGGAATTGTTGTTCGCATTTCTGGTCTAAAGCCAGATAGAATGGGTGTGAGCTAAAACTGTTCCAGCAATTTCAACAGGCAAACATTAAATGTAGTAGAATTCTGCCTGTAAAATGTATATATAGCATTTTTCAAAAGGCATATTTGCTTTCATTGGAATAATTTTCTTTGGGAATTCAGTGTCAACTCTCAGGATGATTGAAATTGTATTAACATACTATGTATTTCTTTGAATTCACCTTGTTTGTATGCCTGCGGTAGAAAAAGTCATGCAACGTTATTTGAATTGAAGCCTCTTGACATTATGAAATGTATGTGTGGTTTTTGCATTTTAAAGCCCTCATGTGATGTGCTTGATTTTACTGAGATTTTCATATCTCTGCTCAGTCACAAAGCACATTGGAGAATATTGGTCTATAACTTTCCTAATAGTTTTGTTGTAAGGATTAAAGGGGAAGTATTATATATATGTTGCCCTTGAATGAAATATAGGATATAGCATAATCAAAAAACATAGTTAATAGATTTAAGTATAAAGAGTTTTGTACTCAAAACTACATGGCATTCACACACATCATATTTCTTTTGTGATGTCCAGTAATTCCATTAAGTTTATGGTTAAAAAAAGCATGCATTCAATTACAATCTTAATATCACAGCACATTTTGAACCTAAAATTCATAGCTTTTAAAAATTCTGTGCAGTAGGGTCACACAAGTCTTCCCTCAAAGTGGGAAGCCAATCATAAGTCAAACCCCCTAAGCAGGTTTGGGACCTCAAAATGGCTTGCTGGATGGGAAATTTTAGGAACCATCGTCTCCAGATAGTTGGAGAGCACCTGATTGGAGATAGTTACAAAACATGTATTTGTCAAAAATACTATTACTAATAATAAAGATTGCATCCCCCTCTCCCAAGTTCTTGGGAAGGAGTTCATAAGTGGATAAAAATGTTAAATATACCCTAAATATCTGACTGATTGTGTGAACAGCATAATTCTAGATGAGATGTGTTGAGATACAGTCATTCACTCTCTCAATAGCTATGATTCAGTAATGATTTGATTTCATCAGCATCAGTGGAATGATTCAGGTCAAGCCTGAAACCTAGCCATCGTTTTTTGCAAAGTGCTTTTAGACCCAGAAGGTAAATTTTCTAAATGGAGATTCTCATAGCTAGTTAACTGGGTGGACTTTTAAAGCATTCCTGCAGAAACTTTATCAACAACAATGGGTTGTGTATTGAATTTCCACTTTCAGTGCATTTGCAACTCTTCTGGTTTTGGAACCCTTGATTTTTAAGCCTTCTTTGTGCAATAAAACAGGACAAAACATTTTTCCAAACCTATTTAGAAGCAGTTAGGGGAATTTGTAATGATAGCAGTCCCAAGCATGCCTGTACAGATTAGCATTTGCTTTTCTTCCACAAAGAAAGATTAAGTATTTTAACAAGGCCTTCTGGTTTGGTAGGTTATGTTAATTTAAAAAGTGGGTCAATACAGAAGTGATCAGGTTTATTATTATTTATTATTATTTTTTTGCCAAGACTACACTCGTGTAAACTGAAATATTCAGTTATTCTCAAAGCTATGCCATAAACTCTGGGGATCCTCCAATTTTCTGCTGAGAGTTATCTTTAGACCATGCTGGAAAAAACTGATTTCTTGGTGCTGAACTTTTCAAACTGTGTAACAGTGAAATGGCCCTTCTTCCCATGAGCGAGTGTAGAAACATATGTGTGCTTATTTATACTGATCAAAGATGTTAGAAAAGTGAATGTGGTAAGAGGACAGAGCAAAAAACAAGGCAGGAAGAGTTTCTTTTTGGTGGTTATTCCATGAGTTATGCTTTTTAAGACAAGGCTTATCTCTTTGTCCAGAGCTTGGTGGTCATGGTGGTTAAAAGGATATTGACTCAGCAATAAAAAAGGGATGAATTCCTAGATGGTCAAAGCTAGAAATTAGACTGAAGACAACTAGTGCTCTAATTCCCCACACCCCAAATCAGTATTTATTTTTACATGAGAATTAGGTTTGCCTCCCCCCATCCCGCAAGAGTATGGAAGGTAGAAATATATATTTTAAAAAAAAAAAGCCAGTTCCCCAAAAATAAGACCTAACACAAAAATAAACCCTGGTGTGTTTTACGCATGCGTCTAATATAAGACCTACCCCCAAAATAAATCCTACCTTAAGAGCCTGGGCAGCCAGCCACCCACCCATTCCGTCTGGTTGATCGCTGTGCTGCAGCCACAAGGTGAGAGGTGGTGATGAAGCTGCTAATGCGCCCCACACTGGCTTACCTCAGGGCTTCTGCAGCCAGGCCATCCATGCCTTGATACCTGCCTCACAGCAGCAGCAGCAGCAGTCATGTGCAGTAGGAGCCCATGTAGGTAAGCTGCTGCGTGGGGCAGCTTCACTCCCCCACCTTGCCTCGTGGCTGCGGCACCAGCATATCACTTGGCCTCCTGCTCTGTTGCAGCTGTGAGAAAGCAGAAGTGGGCCACTCAGGGTCCTGCTGGAGCTGCTGCCATGAGGCAAGGCAGGTGTCGGGGCATGGGTGGCCTGGCTGCGGGGGCCCTGAGGTAAGCCAGTGCAGGTTGTGTGGGGCAGCTCCACCCTCCCTGCCTTGTGCCTCTGGCACTGGCATGCCACACAGCCATCTGCCCCACTGTGAGCAAGCAGAAGAAGTGGGCCTCCTGTACATGGGAAAAAAATAAGACCCCCCCAAAATAAGCCCTAGTGCTTACTTTGGGGCCCAAAGAAAATAAGACCGGTCTTACTTTTGGGGAAACACAAGTAATTGAGGCAGTCCTTGATTTATAATTACAATTGAGCCCAACATTTCTGTTGTTAAGTGAGACATTTGTTAAGTGAATGTTGCCCCATTTTATTACCTTTCTTGCCACAGTTGTTAAGTGAAACATTGCAGTTGATAAGTTAGTAACCTGTTTGTTAAGTGAATCTGGCTTCTGCATTGACTTTGCTTGTCAGAAAGTTGCAAAAGGGGATCACATGACCTTGGGACACAGCAACAGTCATAAATATGAACCAGTTGCCAAGTGCCTGAATTTTGATCCCATGATCATGGAGATGCTGCAAAGGTCGAAAACTTTGAAAAACAGTCATCGGTCACATTTTTCTGTGCCGTTGTAACTTTGAACTGTCGGTCACTAAATGAACTGTAAGTCGAGGACAACCTGTTCTTCTAATTCTAGGTAGACATGTGCCTTGCATCTTTGGCTTTGAGAAAATTAATGGTTTACTTTTGCATAACTAAGGCTAAGTTTTTGGACCTGAAAGAGGCAGGGTTGTTTTTATAGCTATGTGAAGCTTCAGTTTGGGCACTGAACTTGAAAACAGTTTGATTAGATCTCTAATCCGTATGATTTTTATGCTTCTGTACATGTGCAGAAATGGGTTTTTCTAATTTGATTTTGAGAAAACAGGATTGAATAGAGGATCTAATAGTTTGCATCAGATCAGTATTCCAAACTATTTCATCTTGAACTATTCAACTGGATTACTTTTCTGAATCAAGGTTCTGATTCTAATGGGCTCAATGCTGATTTGATACTCCTAATTTGTGATTGTGGGCGAGAAGGGCAATAAACATTGCTGTTATTCCCTTAAGGAGGAATCAGGCTGATGTTTCTCTATGAAGCAGTTTCTCCATTAGTTCTTCAAAAAAAATGTGGTTAAAGGTTCCTCCCATCCCGTCTTGTAAAATGGAAGAATCTAGATTACTTTTCAGTAGTAAAAAGTTTGGGATAATACTTTTGTGTCCCTAATTTTTCTTTTTCTTTTCTTTTTTCTACCCAGTTTGACAGGCTAGGAGGCTGCAAATTCTAGTTCTCCCTAGACATGGATTATTTGGGGCCTGTTACTCTCTTTCAATTTAGTTCATGTATCCAGTTATTGTTCAGAGGAAAATAGGGGGGAGTATTATGCCAGATGGTTTGAGTTGCACAAAATAAAAGTAAGATATAAATCAAATTAAATAAATTGGGAATTTTATAGGATAAAGGAAAAAAAAATAAAAATGAATACATGAACTTTTGCATACCCCCTCATTGCTTTCCATTACATGGTATCTATTAAACTATTGTGCATCAGAACCAGAATTCTAAACATAAACTGAGGTTTGCTACCATATAACATGAAA